AGCTGACATAATGCATAATAAACTCGGGTTACATTACAGCAATATTAAACAACCTATGTAGCTTAAAGGTTTTCTCATTCTTTAAAACTTACCTTTCGATTTAATTTCAGTGTTCGTAGCATTCTTTGGTGGTGGCAATTTCCTGCCTATTTTTCGCTTGATTTTCTGTTAAAAAAATCGCCAATTTAATTAAATCAAACCATGCCTCTGAACTCTAGGTTTTTTCCCCTTCCACTTTTTTTTTTGGGGGGGGGGGGGGGGGGGTTTGATGTTGGGGNAAGATATACCTTAAAATCAATGCCACTCTTTTTCTGCTTCTTTGAGGGAGCTTTGGAACGCACCATTCTTCTATCCTGAAAAATGGCAATAGCTTAGGCAAGCAAACTGATGCAACTTACAATATCCTACTCCTTTGTGATAGTGTAAAGCAATGATTCTAAAACAAAAAACTCACTACCCTGAACAAAAATAAATAAGCTTTAGCTAATGTAATAAAGATACTAATTGTCATTTCAAAGACTTCATACGCCTTACTTATTTCAAAAAGTTCATAACTGAATATGTATGGAATAGAGATATTCCAACCACCCAAGTAAAGAACCGTTGCAAATAACGAAGAAACTAATAGACATAGACAGGAAACAACATAAAATAAACCAATTTTGATACCCTAAGACTCGGTTTGATAACCCGCTACTCTGCAATAGATTAGGCAAGCCAACTAATAGAACTTTTTGCAATAACATATCCTACTTCTTTCACATAGTTGTTTTTTTTTAATAAGAAATCGAGCCTTCATTAAGAAAAAATGAAAAAACTTTTCGTAGTTAGTTGCAATCATAGAGCCGAACCTATATCTAAATTTCAATAACAAAGAGAGCTTCTAACCATCATATTTCTTAAGAAAAAAAAATTGCAGTAGCTTGCCACTAACATAGACTTCAATGCGAAAACCCAGAGACACTCTCAAATTCTCTTTTTAACTCATTCGAACAGACTTTAAAAAAAAGAAAAAAAAAAAAAAGAACAGAGCTTTGTTAACAGAAAGGAGAAAGAACAAATAATAGATCTATGTACCTCACAGGTCAGTCCGACGAGAAACTGAGTATTGAATGAACCACCCAACGTTTGCCGTTTTCTGTTCACCGAGAGACTGAGCGGCGTGAGAGAGTGTAGAGTGTGAGGTGAAGCGTTGCGGTAGAACGGCGGCGCGAGGAGGCGGAGATGTAATAACTGACGAGTGGCGGGAGGAGGATGGATGAGCGGCGAAAAGAAGGTCGGACGGGAGCGAGGGAAGGTCGGACTTTCTATTGTAGCGTTATATAATACATATCGTATTTTAGAAGGGCGGTTCGATGCCATCAGGGGTAAGCTAGGCCTTCCCTCCTGTTCTTCGGAGCTTGTGTTGGGCCGTGGGCTTTCAAATTGTGCCAGCCCAATTTCCACGACCCCATCAACATAAAAATAGACATTTATTTTTTTAAAATGCTTTAAAAAATTAAATATTATTGGGAATTTCGTCAAATATTGATTTTTTTTTTTTTTTTCATTTTAGAAATACTAATTATTGAGTTTAATTTTATAAAATTGATATATATATATATATTTTTTTTTTTAATTATCTAGTTTCGTCCAATAATTGGTCGGCTAAATGGGCAGAGGCAGGTTTTATTTTTATTTTTATTTTTATTTTTATTTTGAAAATATATAGGCCTGATAATATTGATGATGAACGAAAGCAATGATAGTTTGCTTTTAGTACATAAGGAGGACATTGATGCCCTCATGTATTGCCGCAGAAGAAAGCCACCAGCCCTTGGCGGTAAATTTGCTCAATCATCGCATTCAGGCCTCCGTTTTCCGGCATGCACTTGTTGGGCGGTGGCCATGGCGGCCTCTGGGGCTGGAACTTCTTCCTTCCAGATTCCAATACTTCTCGAAACAACAGAAGAAGCTTCGAAGCGAAATCGTCCAACTCTTTGCAGGCAACTGGTGGATCTGGTTACCAGTTCCCTCTGAAGCAGTCCTTGACGGCCGGCTGTCTCACTCTCTCCGGCGACACTATTGCACAGTTGGTAGGTCGATGGCGTAAGGAAATCGCTCTGAATTCCAGTTCTCTCGAGAAGGTAAACTTTGGTCTCTTCGATTCTGGACTCGAAGTAATTAGTTTCTTGAAATTTCGTAATTCGATTTCTGCTGTAATCGGTGATTCAGAGTTTGAGTTTTCCCTTGTGTATGCTTGTGGCTGCTCACGTTTTTGGACCCAGCTCCATCAACATTGTCTGTCCTTTTCAATTCCGTGTTTGAACTTGAACCAGCCAATTATCTTGGAGTGAAATTGTAGAATGGTTCTTTCGTTCTGCCATTGCGAAAGTGCTTCTAGCAAATATACTTATTTTTCATTTCGTGTACGGTCGTTAACTTTTGAAGCCTACTGTGATTCTGTTTGAAGCCTCATTGATGCATTTTTGTGATGTTTTTAACTAACTTTAAGACCAAAACTCTTCTTTCAGGATGGTGTTTCGAACATATTTTCAGAACATGATTGGATTCGCTCTTTGCGTATGCTTTCTTATGGGATTCTGATTTATGGCCCGGGATCCTTTGCATGGTACAACTATCTCGATCATGTTATGCCCAAGCAATCGGTGGGAAATCTTATGCTTAAGGTACAGCTGGTTGTGGCTTTGGTGTCAGTTAGTAATTCTTCTAACATACAATCGAGCTCTTAGCGGCTCAAGGTAAGCATTAAGCATACATTGGCAGTTCTATGAACATTTTTCTTAATTGATTGTTGTTCAGGTTCTCCTGAATCAAATTGTTCTTGGTCCATGCGTCATTGGTGCTGTATTTGCATGGAACAATATCTGGCTAGGAAAAATCAACCAGCTTCCTGCAATGTACCGGAAAGATGCTCTTCCAACATTGTTATATGGTAAAAACGTCTCGAACTAGGACTAGGACCTATTTTTTTGCTTCAAGGACGTAAGTCTAATAAGATTATTTTTTATCTCTTTGCAGGGTTTAGGTTCTGGATTCCTGTCAGCATATTGAACTTTTGGTAATTTTTCATCTTTACTTGAGCTACATTTAAACAAAACGCTAACCTTTCACGAGGTTGAATGAAAGAACAACCTAACAACATTTGAAACCACATGTTGTAATATGGAACAGTGCCTTTAGTTAATTATAGCATCTGATATCGTTAACCCTTGTAGTCGATGAGTTAAAACTTATAACACGATGTCATTTTTTCGTTTGGAATAGATTAGACATCACAATTTACATGTTTAACTTTTAATCTGCCTTACTTTTCTTCTGCATAACCCACCATGACAATGAAGTTGGTTTGCAGAAATCTTTGTACCACAAAATTTAGATCTGGTTTCTTTCCTTTGGGCCTAACTCAAAAATTTGAGAGCCAGCTTTTCTTTTGATAGCACTGGCAACAGCATGTTCATGTTCTGAATTAGTGATTGGTGACTGAGTGCATTGTCCTGAATTTGACCAAACCATGTGTGGCATCGTACAGGGTTGTGCCTCTCCAGGCCCGGGTGGCTTTCATGTCTGTGGCCTCTATATTTTGGAACTTCTATTTGTCTTCAACCATGAGTAAGTGATTCCATCTCGAAAAATCTTAAGATCCATGTGTGAAGAGACTGCACTTGGTGGCTTTATAATATAGTAAGGCAAGCCACTTATCATTTGTAGTTCAGTTTACGGACTCAATTCTCAGTGTAGAGAATAGTTGGGTAGATCTTTAAAAGCCATCATTCTACTGATGAGTATAGCCTTTTGATCTTGCTGATGACCATAGCCTTTTGATCTTGCTGATTGCTTAACAATTTAAATTAGATGGAACTTTGAACTTGGGCTCAAAATATATGGACGGGGCCATTTTAAAAATAAGTTTGTCCCAACATGTTCAACGCATGTTTGAAAATTAAAAAGAACATAACATCCTGGACATGTGTTTGGATGTGTCTTTCCCTCTTTTACTGTTGGTTTCCCTCTATCTCTTCTTATTTTCTTTTCCAACTCTTCAACTAACTCTCCACTTTGAATCGCATCCAAGTAAGTTTTTCTTAGAATTTTAGGACCAATTTTATGGATTCTGTTGATTTTTTTTTTAAAAAGACTGATTTCTTGCATTCCCATGAACTATTTCTCTTATGTGTTGGATTAAATATATGTGACTTATTCCAACATGTTTTAGAGTATCGCGAAGAAATTTTTGGTTGTTCGGTCAAAACATGAACTTGGTGAAGTTGTTACCATCAAATTTTTACGCAAGGTCTCCTTATTTTATAGATTCAACTTCAAAACTCAGGATACTTAGTTCTAATGCCTATATCAAACCCTCTAACTCCCCACCTTCATAACTCTTCTCACTCTCATTCCACGATCCATCGAAACACGCCCATATGCGAAACATTTTTTTGCAAAAAGAGAAGAAAAAAAAGTGCAAATAAGAAAATAAAATAATTCTACTCAAAATATTGGTGGCTTCTCAAACGTCTCGATTATTTCTTGGTTGAGATCTAGAGGGACTCGAACAGGATTTAGTGGACTTGTATGAAATAAGGGATTGGAAAAATCGGCTTATCTTATTGAGATTCGTTCATTCTAACTTAGAATTATGCAAATTGACAATAAAATTTGTGTTTCGATTGTGAATCTGATTAATAAATAGAAATTTTGTATGATGTATGATGAAATATTTAGAATTTCTCACAAGTTTAAAACAAAGATAACTGTGTCATTTACATATAAATGTAGAAATATCCCAATAAAAACAGTAATTAATTGCACATAAGCATTTTATAATTTTTTAAACTAAATTAATTAATTAAGAGTTTTAAAATTTTAACACGGGTAAAATCGAGAAATTTAAAATATTAGTAATATGATATATTAAAAAAAAAAAATGATGCTATGCAATTAAGGATTTATTACATATTTTTGTTTTCGTTTAAAATGAGGGATTTGGATTTATATTTATAGTTCGTCATCTCTACAAAGGAATTTCGCGCTTCAGTCCCCTTCCCAACCAGCGGCAGGTACATATCCACTTTATCCGTCATCTGGGACTCCAATTAAACCTCTCTTAAACCCCAACACTCTCTTCAAATCCCTTCTCCTTCACAAACCTTTGTAATTTCCTTCTGACCCATTAAAACGATGCAAATTTCCATGGCCATTTCGCCACTCACAGCTCCTCAAGTTTTCCCATTTCATCAACCCATTTTACAGTCACCGAAACCTCAGAAAATTGCTCTCCAGAGACATGGGAATCCTGTAAATTCCTTCAGAGATTCGGGTCTCTTATCCACAATCGGCGTCGAAGAAGAATACCGCAGAGCTCGGTCACAGGTTCATCGAAAGGGGGTGGATTTAGAAGGGTATTCGATCGAGGGCATTTCAGTTGGTGGGCAAGAAACCTGTATTATTATTCCTGAATTCAAGTGTGCATTTGATATTGGGAGGTGCCCATCTCGAGCCATTCAGCAAAACTTTGTATTCATCACTCACGCCCACCTTGATCACATTGTAAGCTTCCTTAGCTGAACCAATGAACCTTATCCGCTTCTATTATCGATGTTGTCACCTCACTAAAGATTTTTTAACTTACTATTCACCATATTCAATTAAGTATGTGCTATTTATAATCTGTCAATTAAGCTGATGAGGGAACTAAGAACCAGATTTCTTCCAGAATTATGAACCGTTTCTGATGGCGGTTTCAACTTGTTCTGGTTCAGGGTGGGCTGCCAATGTATGTAGCTAGTCGTGGTTTATATAGTTTAAGTCCTCCTACGGTATTTGTGCCTCCTTGTATCAAGGAAGATGTGGAGAAACTACTTGAGATTCACAGGACCATGGGCCAGGTTGAGTTGGACGTTGATCTGGTTGCACTAGATGTAGGTAGGTTGCGTATTTGAGCTTAGTTGTTCTTTATTTTGACTGAAGTGTGCATCATTGTTCGACGGAACTGAAAGTAACATCACTTTCTGAATCCAGGAGACACATATGAAATGCGGAATAACCTTGTCTGCAGAGCATTTGAAACAAATCATGTAATTCCGAGCCAGGTATACTCTATCTGCGTAGCAGGACATCTTTTTCATTTTATACATATTGATGGAGACCTTACAGATCTGATAGTACTTAAGAGTCTAGCTTTAGTTATCTTTTTATTTACAGGAAGTTTTCAGGAGACAGGTTCTTCATGTATGGGAATGAATCATTGTATGTGGATTAATATGTGGAATTTTATTTCTTATAGCCGATTGTTTTCTTAAGATCGAATACTCGGGTAGCAAATCCTTGTGCCTGCGTATTTTTGGCTTTACAGTTGTAGTGAGGGCCCTGTTTGCGTTTCCACGTTTTTTTGTCTCGATAAGTAGCTGTCTTTTTATTGAGGGCAGAAAGCGAGTAGTGATTGATCACCAACTTTTAGGATAGTAGATTTTATCTGTTTCCAAAAATTGAGAAACGAGGACTATGAGATGGGTTCGGGTTTGATATTGACCGTTTTATTTTCGGTGTTGAAGCATGTCTCAAATAGTTACATCAGTATAACTATGATTAAATACTTCACATTGTATGCAGGGTTATGTTATTTATTCGGTTAGAAAAAAATTGAAGAAGCAATACATGCATCTTAAGGGGAAACAGATCGAGAAGCTAAAGAAATCTGGTGTCGAGGCATGTCTTGCACAGATAGTTGGTTCCATCATTTAGTCTTTCTATATTTGGCACTGGTTTGATTTTGAGTTTTTGTTGCAGATTACAGACACCATATTGTCCCCGGAGGTTGCCTTCACAGGAGATACAAGGACAGATTTTATGCTTGATCCACGTAATGCCGATGCTTTGAGGGCGAAAATTCTAATAACTGAGGTATAAACTGTGAAACTCCGGTTCAACGTTTTCTCTCTTCTTGGATAGAGCTTCTTTTCAAATTGTGATCAATACTCTATTCTAATTTCTGGGGAGAAATTCGTTGTTCCAGCAATTGCCATGCCTCCAAATGTTCGTTCTGCTTTTATCAGCTTTTCCTTCTCAAGATATATTTGGGGATTCCCTTCATAATCTCGCTATTTGTTACAACAACATGACAGCAACCCAATAGTAAGGAGATTGCAAACCTAAGCCTGAAATAGGCACGTAATCGTCTAACTTAATTCCTTGCCACCTTATTCCTCTGTGTACAGCCAATGGTCTCTAATGTACTTCTAGCTAACCTACACTTCACATACCATTCCTCAATGATGATAATATCCATTGCTATAAGGCCTACTGTTATTTCTCTGAAAACATACTTTGTTCTCTAGGGTGGCTTAAGCCATAGGCTAAATGTTAAGAAAAAAAGTCCCTCCACTGTTTACTTACTCCAGGAGAAAGTTACATGGCCTAAGCGACAGGCTAATCATGTGATGCATGATTTCGTCATGTGTCAATGGTGCCGTGGCTGTGTGTGTGACATGGGTCGCTTTTTGTAATACAGTTATTATTGAAGATAGAAAGGGAAGGAGGGAAAGTTAACTAGTAGCTCAGTCTTTCAAAAGTATACGAACTATTCTGTTCCTCAATCAATATAATTGGCATATCAAAACGAAGTCTATCTCATTGTTCTAACCTTTTTGAAGTATCACTTTGAATTTCCTATTTCTAGCTTATAGTTGGAAGGAGTTTGATCTTTTTGATTGATTCTCCTAATATTTTGAATAACTTTAATTTTGACCTCCACCCTATCCGGATCATGCTTCGAGGTTCTCTTCCTACTTGGCCAGAAATATTTTTCTGTAATCAATTTGATGGAAAATAATTGCAAATGGTATTAAAGTTTGGGTGTTGTGTTCTTGCTTGAAACCTCTTGTCTGTTAAAGTTTGCATCTTACTGATAAATCCTCTTGAAAACAGGCAACTTTTCTGGATGAAGGAGTTAGCATAGAACATGCAAGGGAACATGGTCATACTCACATATTTGAGGTATTTGAAGCATTGGTTGTCGTCTCTTACGTGATGAATTGTCCTTTTTGTTGATTATATATTTGAACATTTATTGTCCTTTATGAAATTCATCTTGTTTTTATGATGAGGGTTCAGGGTAGAATATTAATCCTTCCTAACTTTAGTTCTAATGTCTGTTCAATGTATCTTCATCCCGTGGTTGAATCATCATTATTGATCCAATTATTGACTCTATGATTTCAAAAAATTGCAGATCATTGAAAATGCACAGTGGATTCGAAATAAAGCTATTCTGCTTACTCATTTTTCATCCCGATACCATATAGAGGTGAAAGTTTTTTCAATGAAGTTCATTTTTAGCTGCACTCATGATGACAAGTCTCTGACGTGCAGTATGCTTTTTTTCTTTTCTTTTAATAAATAATACGAAGTTTAGTTTTCATTAAGAGAAATGAAAGAATGTGACAAGTACTGTAACAGCCCAAATCCACTGCTAGTGAGTATTGTCCGCTTTGGCTTGTAATGTATCGCCACCACGTGTCTACTAGGAAGTAGTTTCCACACCCTTATAAGGAATGATCGTGATCTTACAAGCCCACCAATAAAAACCCTTAAACTTCTTATCATAATATAATAGACTAATCCAAAAGCATGAAATCATGCTGGTAATTATAGAAAGCCTGAGTAACAGACAGACGTTCATAAAGAAGAGTTAAATCCAACCAACTTCCAAAGCTCCTCATCTTCTAAAGATCCTACTAAATACCTCAAGCCAAATGCCTCACAGAATGACGAAACAAGCATGTCACAAAATTCTTCCTTTATTGCGAAAAGGAGGGTTCAAGACTCAAGAGCTCCTCCTCAATAATAGAGCAACACCCTCTGTTATGAGTCAGATCATCTAACATGCATTAGTTCACATCACAACTTTGGGCTTCGTGCCTGATTTCTTGTATGCACTCTCTGTTGGGCACGCCCACGTCGACCTTATATGCTTATTTCTTTGATTAGCTGCATAATCAGTTTCCACTTCAGCTCTGAGGAAGTCATAGTTGAAACCTGCTCATCTGCCTTTAAAGATCATTAATAGATAATCCAAAATTGCTTTTAATCTTTGACCTGCGTCCTAAAAGTAACAGCTCATATGTCAGCAATTACAGATGAATAAATGCTTTTTGAATTGCAGGACATCCGGAAAGCGGTATCAAAGTTACAGTCCAAGGTGACAGCAAAAGTCGTTCCTCTCACTGAAGGTTTCAAGTCAGTGTATTAATGTAGGCTATGGGATTCTTGGGAACAAAGTGTAATTATATTTAGCATCAAAGCAGAGAAACTGGAACATAGGTAATTATTTCTCTGTAAATTGATTCTTGTTTTCTTTAGCGTTATCCCCTTAGCAAAAACTATATTTGGCCTTATTAATAGGCATTCTGACACATGTTTGAAGCTATAACTCAATCAATAGAGGTGCAGTTTAAGCTATACATGTTTGGTTAGTTTGGTTTTGTATAATGTAAGGTCCAAATTTTTATTTGATTGATTGATTGGATATCAATAGACTTTCTCCATTTCAGTCAGTTCGGTTTTGGTCGTTGGTTATGATCAGTTTTTGTCTTGCAGCAGTGGTCTTAGCGTCGGTTTTTCTTAAACGATAGGTTGATCTTAGGCATAAACCGAACCGGAATGACCCACTTACACACTTGGTAGTCCCCCTGGAGCAGGGTTTTCTCTCTAGTTGAACCACTATTATCATCTGAATGAATTACATTACCGAGTTCCCAGATGAAAACTAAAGATGGGACCAAGTGGATGTGGAAGAGAAGAGGACAATTTTAAGGTCTGAAACAAAAACTAAGAAAGAAATGAGATAGAATGAAGAATCTGCATTAGAATTGATGTAGTTAGCCAGGACCTCTCTTCCTTTATTCTCTCCATTGCCTTAAAGCACCTCCAAACCACAGCACATGCATATTAATGCACCTCCAAGACAACAAAGTACACACAGTCCCACTCTCTACCCCCATCTAGATTAAGATATCTTTCTCCATTGTCGGGTCCTCCTCTAGTTCCTGGATTGACCGGAAGGAACCATCGTTCGTTCATGAACCTTTGGACAACACCTTCGTTATGCTTGTTGTTGTACTCAACATGGGTTGTTATCTTGCAGGAAACGGAGGGAAATTCCCAGCTTTTTAGGCTCTGTGGTGTGAAGGCTTAGCCTATAGCTTACATCATTCCAGTTGAGGACAGTACCAATACACTGCAACATATCATAAAAGTGATAGGAGACATCACTGTGACAAAATAGTCCCAAATTCATTTCAACCACACAATAGATCCAAACAGAGAATGAGTGATGTACTTTCTTTGTTCTTACAACACCCTATCATTTCGATCAATACCATAACATTTCTCGTCTTCTACAATACTACAAATTCTGGCTTATAATGTACGTCCAGAGCACATGAAAACTCAGAAGCCGATAATATCTTGGCTTCATTTGGAGTTTGATTGACGTAAAGTAAAGGCTTCCTTAACCCCAACCACTCCTTTTCGTTGTGAAAAAAGACTGTAAAAAACTATTCGAGGAGTGTTTCTTAAGAACTAAAAAGTAAGCACTCGATTATACGCTTTGGATTAAACAAGAAAAGATCCCAAAAATTTTGTCAAAAATGAACACCGAAGCCAAGAAAGAACAATCAATGAATGCGTAGAAATTACGTTTGAGAAAAGAGTGACTGCACTGGATACGGGGGGGACCCATTGACGTGGAGAAATATGATTGGTAACTCATTACTAGTAACGTAAGGTTGGATAAGAAAAAGATGATATTTTTGTTGCTAATTACGCAAATCCAAGCTTTGATAAATGAGTATTATGTATGAGATCAGCATGAGGGGGTGGTGAAATCAATTGAATCCTTGAAATAATAATGTTTATTAAGGTTATGGATCTTACGGGCAGTGAAAAGGGGGGGAAAAATGTTTTTATGGACTCATCACATGTCCTACCCAACCCATCTGGGGAATCTTGGAGAAACCCTGCGATTTGTGATGTCATGCGTCTGTATCTGGCGATTCATATATACTAGCTGTTGATCCCCTTCGGCTTTTCGTTGTCAGGCACCAGAGAGCACAGGCACCACAGCCAAATTCAAAAACTCCTCCTCACGCAATCTAATCAAAGAAGCTTCGTGGTAACGCCCTTCTGCATCGGCGCATCTCTCTCTCTCTCTCTCTCTCTCTGCTCCCTGCGGCAGCGCTTTTCTTTTTCCATCGTTGAAGCGCTTTATTTTGTTTTTATCTAGGTGGGAATTGGTAGTTTCTGGCTTAATAATTCCCTTTTTGTTTACTCCGATTCTGATTGCGTTCTAATTTGGGGGGTTTCTGTTTCATCGCCTGTGTTTCTTTCTTTTGTTTTGTTTCGTTTTTTTGGTGATTTAGAAGGTTTTCTCATCTGGGTCAGAGCTGAATCGTGGTTTTTGGCTATGAGGAAGAGGGAAAGAGAGAACCCTTGTGGAGTTTGTGGCCACTATCACAAATACGAAGAAGGGGAAGTTTGTGGGATATGTGGTCATCGTGTACCCGCTACATCGGAGAAAACTTCCTTGCAAGTTAGTGCGTTTCCTTCAGAGATCTTGCCGGAGTTTCTCTATTTGGGAAGTTATGACAACGCTTCACGGTCTGAACTTTTGAAGACTCAAGGAATTTCTCGCGTTCTTAACGTATGTTCAATTTCTTCCTTCTTCTCTGTGTCTTCAGATTTTATTCCCCCTTCTGAATCGAGTACTTACAATTTTGATTTTCACTTTAGGTTGCTACTATTGCTTCAGTTGATGGATATAAATGCTTTTGATTGTTCCTTAATCTGAATGTTAAATTAATATCTGTTCTATTTCCACTACGGGTATGCATTTTATCTACAAAACTCTGCCTGGTTTAAGAGTTTGGGGGCGACAATCATCGATTAAGTTACTTGTTATTGTTGCCTAATTGGATCATAATGGGGCAGTTGACCTTTGAAGTTAAAGGTTTTGTCTGCAAAGTGGGGTTGTGGTTCGTTTTTTCTTCTCTTTTACAGCATCGTGGTGTAGGTTATTTTGTTCATGGTATTGATTCTGCTGTGATGGAACAGTTCCTAATTCTTCTGTAGGCATAATTTTATAGAATGGTGTGGTTATATTTTGCATCGACTAAAGTTCGACCACGCAATGCAGATGAAGAAGCTTTTATATGCATGTCAATGTGTTGAAATGTAGGATTGCTCGCCTTTAAGAGGCCTCAAATGGAGGGGTTAAGTTATTATGCTAATCAATTATGCAGTTTCGATAACTAACGATGTCAAGTTGTCAGCCCTAAGATCCTATGGATATGGATATAAATGAGTTTGACCGTGCTGATGATCGTACTAAAATGCAGTTTCATCGTAGAATATTTTGCAGTTGTTACTTATGCAGAGTATTGTATGTTGCTATCACTTGCCATTGAAATGTATTAGGTGCTGAACAATTGGTTTTCTCCGCCCTATGTTTGCAGACTGTGCCTGCTTGTCAAAATCTCTACAAGAACTCCTTCACTTATCACTGCCTCCAATACGACAAGACGTTACCATTTGATGATGCTGTTGAATTTCTAGGTGCCTTTTCTTTATCTTCTCCGAAATGAACTGTATCTGCTAATTCATTTGTTAGGTTAGTCCATGTCTTGCTATGTTTTTCATTTTTAAATGCCGACTTTCATATAAAAAGATCGATGCACCGTGATTACTTTAATGCTAAACAAGATTACTCATCTGCTGAATGAATGGCTTTCGGTTAAGACCGTGACTAGCTTTCTGTCATTCATTGAGAGAAGTGTAACATGCTCAGTGTTGCTTATGATTTTCAGATCAATGTGAACGAGACAAGGCTCGTGTTTTGGTGCACTGCATGTCGGGAAAAAACAGGTTCTCTCCCCTATTCATTGATATAACTGGAACTCTGCAACTATATATGTACCCGGTCGACCTGGGACCAACGAATGAAAATGGCTACATGACAGAAGTTTAGTATCTGCATAATATCCTTGCTAATAGATTAAACTTATTGATCATAGGTCTCCAGCTATTGTGATTGCGTTCCTGATGAAATGCAAAGGATGGAGACTTGCTCAGAGTTACCAGTGGGTGAAAGAGCGGAGGCCATCCGTTGACTTAACTGAGCGTATGTATTTCACACATTATCCTGAAGTTCCTCGTCTGCTTTTCTAGAAAATATCGCTTTGCTTAGTCATTTAATTCTCCCTTAATCTCTGAATAATTAAGTCGAATGTGCTTTTCGTGGATCACGAGCTGCCATAAGACATGCCTTTACCCCTACTACTTACCATGAAGTGCTCATTTGTTATATTTCTTTTACCAAATGGACTGGAAACAGAGGCCTGCACTGCATCTGCTTTGCAGTATCCATGTTTTGGTCAAATAACTTGTTTGTTCTGATTATTTTCCATTTCATTCAACTTTGTTCGATCGCTACAATCTACTCGATGATGCCTTTTTCTTATTGCATTTTAACGTCTTCTAGTCGATTAGGGAATGTGTTCATCTTCAAATAATATACTCTGACCTATCTATTGGTCTGTGAAAATAGCTATCTATCAGCAGCTGCAAGAGTATGAGCAGAAGGTTTTTGGATCAGCAGAAAACGCCCTCCCAACCTTACCAATCTTCCCTCCTGTTGGTCTGCCTTCTTTTAGCTTCGGCTTCCCAAAGACCTGCGACCCAGTTCCCACAACTCCATTCAACACCATTGGTGCGACATCTATCTTCTCCGCCCCCAACATAGACTTACCTTCCCATGAGTTCACGTTCGGCGCTGGCCAGACTCAAACCAGTTTCTCCGCAAGCCCCTTCGGCGCAAATCCAAGAAACTCAACCAGCAGCAACATCCAAATGGACAGTGCTTAAAACTCACTAGTCGCCATCTTAGTAGTTTTTTGCAAAAAAAAAAAAAAAAAAAAAAAAAAAANGGCCAGACTCAAACCAGTTTCTCCGCAAGCCCCTTCGGCGCAAATCCAAGAAACTCAACCAGCAGCAACATCCAAATGGACAGTGCTTAAAACTCACTAGTCGCCATCTTAGTAGTTTTTTAAAAAAAAAAAAAAAAAAAAAAAAAAAAGGTTTGTCAGGTGTGATGAGTCTTACTGAATTTGAGGGGTGAGAGGTGGGAAACTTTAGTTTGTATGATTAATGGGTGTGGTTTTTTTTTTCTTTACATTACTCTTTAGGGGTGTGTACCTCATCAAGTCCAGTCAAATATTGTTCAAACTTGACTCATCACTAATGTTATACAATCTCATAAATATCATATCATATCACCATTTACTTTCTCGCTCTTAACCCTTTTAGTTGATTGTTTTGTGGTCGTCTCTTTGCTATGATGGGGCATGTTAGAATTGTGTATAGCTTCTAGTTCAGCTCAGCTCTGTTCTGTTCTGTTCTGTGTTTTGGTTTCTGAGAATGTTCAGTAGACTCTCCCTCTTGGCTTCCATTTGTGCAGGCAGCAGCAGATCAAGTAATTTGCTTCCATTTATTGTTCGTGGAGAGGAAGGAGTACAGAATTATTCTCTAAACTATTCTCTTACCTTTTCCATGGTCTAAACTTCCCATTTTTATCACTAATTTCATAACAGAATCTGTTCTCTTTTTTTCTTTTGCCCCCAGAAATGGTTCTAAGTGCAATGAATACTTCAATAGAAGTCGTGGAGAATCAAGTTTTTGATGAGTGTCCAATCTTTTCTTTAATCTCGAGAGAAAGATCGGAGTGCCTCATATTTAAATCGCCTTTTTTTCCATTCGAGAGCTTGAGAAATTTGAACAACGGCTGGAAGATATCCACGGGCTTATTAGCTAAATCTTCTCGTGATGGCATTTGAAACAGGTGCCCAAGTTATTATATATATCATGAGTGATACGAAAATAGATTAAAATAGATTCCAGGAGGGACCTTTATGAAAATTTAGAAATACGATGTTTTGGTCTCCATAATGGAATGACTTTTGAATTGGCGAAACAAGAACTTTATATGAGAATAATCTTTTTTTATCGAATAAAAGGTATCAAAATTCTTTCGTATAGGCTAATATATAATTAGTTCATATCAAGAAGAGACCTAAAGAACATATCATATCTATATAATTAGTTTCTATCATGAAGAGACCTAAAGAACATATCATATCAAATCAAACTTTATTAAATTGCTCGGGATTGAACATAAACCAATCATACACCCACCAATAATTGATTACTCTATTTAAAAATACCAAAATTTAAAGATTGATACACATAGATATCATCTAATTAGCCACAACCCCAAACAATATGGCCATAAAGATGCAATCTTTGTACCATAAAAAACAAAAAAAAAACAAAAAAAAAAAAAACAACTCAAATTAGCAAACCATAATTATCATGTTAAATTACTTAAAAAGGAAGCTGATTTATCAAAGGGGATTAAGAAATAATCCTCTCTTTTTTTTTTTTCTTTTTTTTAATGGAAATAATAAAGTCAATGCCCCAAGACGACGACTTTTTGGTTCGCCGGTTCTTCTGGAGAAGTTGTCTCAATTTCCATTTCCACCGCCCGTTCTTCAGCATCCTCGGTGGATTCCGACATGGACATTGCCATCCTACCTTTCACCGGAACTTTATACGTGTCATCAAAATCGTCATCCTCGTCTACGGTTTGAGCGGCCATGCGGCCGCTGTGCTGACAGTGGTCCCCTCCGCCGGGGCAGGGCTTCTCGACAGCGTGGGTGCCGGAGTGGCCGGAATTGGCGTCGGCGACTTTGATGAATAGTAAGCAAATGAAGATGGCGACAAGGCCCAGAAATGAGAGCCCTTTAGAAATTGGCATGGCCATTTGATGAGCTATTTTATTTAATCTGTTGGATTTCAAATGGGAAATGAAATAACGTTGGAGATTTATAAACCCTTTTCTTTCTTCTTTTTTATTCTTTAATTTTCTATTAATGGGTTAATTTTGTTTTTCCGTTGCGCATAAAGGGCTCTTTTTTTGGAGCCAAGAGCTGATCTTAAGGCTTCATAATAGAGTTTTACTTCATTTGTTGACTTTGAGTCCACCTCGAGCAACCACCTTAGTTCAATGGGACAGATCTCTAGTTTAATCGCAGACTTGTATGACACTAGCATTTACTGTGTTGTTGAGTCGAGCAAGAGTCTTGTCATAGTGATGCAAAATTTAATGCCATGGGGGCTTATAAGTAGTGGAGTTAAGTGACAAATTCCCGAAACTAGAAGAAAAATAGACGAGAATGTTTTTTTTTTTTTAATATATATATAAATTTAAAACAATTAGATATGTTTGAATGATTATGTATAATAATTAGATAATTTGATATATAATATTATTTTATTTTATTAGAAGATTTTAAAATGACGCAACAAATATATAATATAATGAAATTCCAAAGGAAATTAATTATTGTAATTTAAAAATCTATGAAAGCTTTAAACCAAACCGCCCGTTGAGATTAATGTCGGAATAATTAGTTACAAAGCCTACTAAAACATAATAAGATTGTTAAAAGTGCTATAACTCCGGCCTCCTTCGCCGTCGCCGGCGGCGGCCATAACTGAGAAAACCCCACCAGAAGGCTTAATTACAGGCCAAAACTAGCCGTCGGCGGCGGCCATAACTGAGAAAACCCCACCAGAAGGCTTAATTACAGGCCAAAACTAGCCGTCGGCGGCGGCAATAACCGGCAAAACCCCACGACATGGCTAAATTACCTGTCAAAAGCATATAATATAATGTTGGCTTGGTGTTGCATGTAGATTTGTTGGACCAACCGCCATCAAAATCATTAAATTCCCACCAAACTTCACCTCTCTCTCTCTCCACAATTTATAACCAAATTTAACCCTCCAATTCATATTTCAGTGTTCTTCACTTCCTTCTTCCAATTTCTTTCCCCAAAAAAAAAAACCATCTTTTTTTGTTTCTTCAATAATGGGTTTCGTCTCTATTATCTTTTCCATTATTTTCTTCACATGGGGCTCCAAAATTGAAGCCAAGGTCCCCGCCATTATTGTCTTTGGAGACTCCTCTGTGGATTCCGGCAATAACAATGCCATTAAGACACTGTTGAAAAGTAATTTCATGCCTTATGGACGTGACTTCTACGGCGGACAACCCACCGGAAGATTCTCCAACGGCCGTGTTCCGCCGGATTTCATTTCTGAAGCTTTTGGTTTGAAACCAACCATTCCCGCTTACTTGGATCCTGCTTTTACTATCGCCGATTTCGCCACCGGTGTCTGCTTCGCCTCCGCCGGAACTGGCTTCGATAATGCCACCTCCGACGTCTTAGTAAGTTCTTAACAATTTCATTTTCGGGTCATTTTCAATTGAGATGACTTTTTCTCATTTTAGTTTTTTTAAGACAAAAAGTTTCGATCTTTGTACGAAATATGAGAACTCATTTGACACATAGTCGTTTTAAACGTTACAGAACGTGATACCATTGTGGAGAGAAGTGGAGTTATACAAGGAGTATCAAGCCAAATTAAGAGGTTATGTTGGGAATGAGAAGGCAAATGAAGTGATAAAAGAAGCATTATATTTGGTAAGTTTAGGAACAAACGACTTCTTAGAAAATTACTACACAATTCCTCGCCGGAGACTCCAATTTAGCGTCCAACAGTATGAGGATTTCCTTTTGCAACTCGCCGGAAAGTTCATCAGAGAAATTTACAGTCTTGGAGTTAGAAAAATATCAATTTCAGGGCTGCCTCCAATGGGGTGTTTGCCACTTGAAAGAGCAACAAATGTTATGAGTAATTTCGAGTGCGTTGAGAAATTCAACCTCGTGGCTTTGGAATTCAACGCCAAGTTGGAGGGATTTGTTTGGGCGTTGAATAGGCAGCTCCCTGGTCTTACAATGCTTTTCTCAAATCCTTATGCCATTTTTTATCAAATCATCACCAAACCTTACTTATATGGTAACAAAGATCCTACCTTTATTTGTGATTTTTATTTACATTATCCTCAAATTTTATGTTTTTTTGTCTTGTTTTCGTCTTCACGGTTGAGTTATGCTCATATTGACTTATATACTGTATTTATTAAATCTTGACGTCACAGTCTGTTAGAAATCACGACTCTCTACAATGGTATGGTATTATTTACTTTAAGCATAACCCCATGATCATCCTCTAGACAATGTAGGAGGACTCCCTCCCAACAATCCTCAACACGGTCATCTTTATCACACTTGAGTAAAAATTCATTGGGTTGAAAATTTCTATAGTAGTTGTGGTCGGTTGTGGGTCACTTCCCGTTAACATCCTGAAATTAAGATTAGGATCAAAATTTTGATCTAGATTTGACTTCTTTTATGACTTTGGATGTGTTGCTTTGAGATTAAAGATGGTTAATTATAGATCATCGGTATAGTTTTCAGGGTTTAGGGTTACCCGACAAAAGATTGCTTCAAACAAAACGACGCAATGACGTGTCTCGTATACTATATAGGTATATATATATATATATATATATATATATTACTTGAAAGTGTAGACAAACTAAATTCTCTAACATTGCACCAACCCTAGAAATCCATGAGAAGGATAGTATGTAAAGTTAGTTTGGTAGGAAAAACCACCGTTTATGGAACAAACCACACGGCAGAGTAACGCCCTCGTCATCAAAACTTAGGTGATAGCCATTAATATGTTCAACAGAGCAGGCAGCCAAATTTAGTGTCCCATCTCCTCTTCTTGTGCCATTTGCAACACTATCTTTAAAGACTCTACCAACCCTAAACCAAATATTGTTCCCATCTCTCTCTTTCCACTTTTATGGAACATCTAACAAATGGTGGATTTGAGTCCCGAATTAAGATTAGATATCTTGATCCATTGATCCATGTTTAGATTAGTAGCTCGTTCACTCTTTATTGTAATGAAATGAATAGTCGGTATCATTTGACTAGAACGTGTCTCGAAATTTTGATGTACGTTCTTACTGCCTAATAGGTAGAAATCTTTCCTTATTGTATTATTCTTTCTTTGTTATCAAAGACTTAATGGTGATAAATGCGAGATTTCGATCGACCTACCCGTCGGAAATTCTCTTTTTTAAAATGGTTTAGGGTTTGAGGTGGCTGGAAAGGCATGCTGTGGAACAGGGACATTTGAGATGAGCTATTTGTGCAGCCAAGAAAACTCATTGACTTGCAGTGATGCTACCAAATATGTATTTTGGGATGCCTTTCATCCGACAGAGAAGACCAACCAGATTATAGTCAATGATTTGCTCCAAACTCTTCTTCCCATGTTTCGTTGACTTAACACGACATTGCCATACTTCGATTGAGCATACTATATGTTGTTGTTTTTTTATCATTTTTAATTCCCATCGGAAAATATCTAACATTATTCATGATTAATTTATCGTTGTTTTTTAATTATGAATCTACGATATTTCTGTACGAGGCTATAAAGTGCATTTACCTATTTCTTTTCTATCTCGAGAGTAGTTGTAAAGTGGTCACCACAAGTTGGTGAATCTTGTCGATGAATTTAATTGAATCATTGTGACATTGAAGTTGAGAGTAAGTAAGAAAGGTACGAACGATTTCATCCATAAATTTTCGAACATGCTTTTAATTGACCTAATAACCTTCCTACACGTAAACTATCATCTACTCGATTCGAGTATTTCGCAATTGAATCTAACAAGTAACCGTATGTGTTTTTACATTTATAGATGCATTATTTTGGCGTGTTAGCTGTGAAAGCATATGAAAGAGAAAAGTGAGTCGACTAAATTAAATGGCCGTGAATGGTAGGTCAAGAATAATAGCTGCCCTTGTGTGGGGAAGCCATCCCTATGCAAAGGCACTCTGCCCTTCAAAGTTGGGGACAAACCCTAGGGCCTGGCCCAATCCTCCCTTGGTTTTTAAACATCGACTAGGAAAGCCCATTTGACAAACTTTGTGTAAATTTGTGTTTGGGTGGTGAGTTAAATTGAGTTACGAACTCTCGTAGTGCTAAATTGTCACAAACGAAGTATATTTTATAAGAGTGTGAAAACTTTTTCAATATGTTTTAAAATTGTGAGACTGACGGTAATAAGTAACTGACAATATCCACTAGCAGTAAGTTTGGGCTCTGTTACAAATGATATCAGAGCTAGACACTAGCAGTAAGTTTGGACTCTGTTACAAATGATATCAGAGCTAGACACTAGGCAATATGTCATCAAGCATGTTGGGCCCAAGGGGAGTGGACTGTGAGATCTTACATCAATTGGAGAAAGTGTAAAAACCTCTCCCTAACAAAGCGTTTTAAAATCGTGAGGCTGACGACGAAACATAACAGACAAAAGTGGGCAATATCTATTGGTAATGATCAAAGCTAAATTTTTACCCATTTTAAAGTAGAAGGAATAAGTTATTCATATTAACTCTCCTCTAGACTAAATTGTTACAAAATCAAAAAAATGCAAGAACTCCTCTCAAGGCTTTGAAACCCGTCTATTGGAGAAAGATTTTCACACCCTTATAAATGGTGGTTTGTTCTCCTCCATTTTCACACCCTTATAAATGGTGGTTTGTTCTCCTCCCCAACCAATGTGGGACATGGTGGTTTGTTCTCCTCCCCAACCAATGTGGGACATCATAAATGTAGAGATCAATAGCGCATTGTTTTCGAGATTGCAAGGATAAAAGATCGAACAATCAACTTTTGAAACAACAATTGGTAACTTATCTATCGAGCTCAGCATGACCCAGCTCGTGTATTGTAAAAAGAGGGCGATCACGGAAGCGGACCTCCACCTCCTTTTCTGTTCATATCCGACACCCATAATATTGTCGTTATCAATGGCGGTTCCAACCAGATTCATAAATGAAGCCTTTCAGATTTCTTCATTTGTTCATTACGACGTGTTGCATAAGGTGGTTGGGGAGGAAATCACTGAAAGTGAAGCTTTCATCAACCTCTGAGTGTGCACTCAAAAGCTTAGAATTTGTGGGCAATGAGCTTAGAACGTTGTGGTCTATGATTCCATTTAATATTTGTTACCACATTCAATACTCTCCCAACAACTTCTCTCAACACCTATATTTACTTCTTCTTCTTTCTCATGTGTATTGTCAACAACATCATACAACCAAATTATGGCTTACATCGTGTTCGTCTTATGCCTTCTCTCCTTCCTTTCGTCCCCAAACACGATAGCCGAAGCTAGGGTTTCGTCAATTATCGTGTTCGGTGACTCCTCGGTTGACGCTGGAAATAACAACTTCATTCCCACTATTGCCAGAAGCAATTTCTTCCCTTATGGTCGGGATTTTGCGGGCGGGAAGGCAACCGGGAGATTCTCGAATGGGAGAATTCCGACCGACTTCATTTCCGAGGCTTTTGGACTCAAACCCATTGTGCCTGCTTACTTGGATCCGGCTTATAACATCTCGGATTTCGCCACTCGGGTCACTTTTGCTTCGGCTGGAACTGGCTACGATAATGCCACTTCTGACGTTTTGGTAATTTTGGACTCGAACGTTTATTTTGGTCACTATACTTGTTTTGATGCGAAACCATTTTGTAATGTTGCAGTCAGTGATATCATTATGGAAGCAGCTTGAATACTACAAAGAGTATCAAACGAAGCTGAGAGCATATCAAGGCTCAGCCACGGCAAACCAAACAATAAACGAAGCTTTGTATGTGATGAGCTTAGGAACCAATGACTTTCTAGAGAATTACTACACAATGCCAGGCCGTTCTTCCCAGTACAACATCCAACAGTACCAGGACTTTCTTATCGGGATCGTGGGCGGGTTTATCGAGAAGCTTCACAGTCTCGGCGCTCGGAAAATCTCCCTCGGCGGGCTGCCGCCGATGGGGTGCTTGCCGTTGGAAAGAACAAGAAATGTTTTCCGTGGCAAGGATGATTGTGTGGAGAGCTACAACAATGTGGCTGTGGAATTCAACAACAAACTCAACGCTTTGACAGTGAAACTCAACAAGGAGCTTCCCGAGCTCGAGTTGGTGTTTTCGAATCCGTATAACGTTCTGATGTACATGATCAAAAAGCCCTCTCTTTACGGTAATAAACTTAAACTAAACCGATACATTATAGTTTTAAAAAAATTAGAATTTTGTCTTTCTAATCTGAAAAAAAACCTCATAAATAGTCTCTACGATTTGAAAAAATTTACTATTTTGTCCGTCACAGGGTTTGATGTGACATCAACAGCTTGTTGTGCAACGGGAATGTTTGAGATGGGCTATGCTTGCAATCGAAACAATATGTTCACCTGCACAAATGCAAACAAGTACATCTTTTGGGACTCGTTTCATCCAACCCAAAAAACTAACCAGATTGTCGCAGCTTATATGGTCAAGAACGTACTTTCGAAGTTCCTTTATACCTAAAATTTTAGAGGCTTTTAAAGTTATTAGAAAAATAGTTTTGTCTAAATAAGTTCTCAAAAAGAGTCATGTTGTTCTAAAATATTTCAGGCTCTACATTACCAACAATATAATAATCACCCCTTTAGTATATAGTATGGATTTTCCCTTCTACCTTAATTATATATATCAACTAGTATAAGCTCTGTACTATATGTTTTATCTAATATTTAGTTGTATGACTTGACATTCATGTGTGATTTTTATTTGTTCATTTAACGAACACAACCGACTTTAGGAGAGAGAGGTCGGAAAGTGGTTAACTCGATGCCAATTTCTTTCAATAACATGTCTTTCTCTCGAGCTTCTAATAAGTATTTGAACTTATTTATAAGTTGAAAGTGTCTAAAAGGTCCCATTCCGATCTCCTCCTAATCTGAATGCTCAAAAAATAGTCAACTTGGAATAATTTTACAACCCTAATTCAAAAGGCAAACAAAAAGATGACAACTAAAGTAGCATATTCTCCTCCTTTTTTGGGCGGCCTTAGCCCTCACTTTCTACACTGCTCAATTATTTGAGCTAGAGTTTAATTCAAATATACATGGGAAGAAATCTAACATTATATGAGCATTTGAATCCAGTCCCATCAATGTGGTAGCATGCTTATAAGACATTTGATTTATATCAAAGTTTGAACATGAAATGATGATGTATTAATGTCTCTAACATGTGCAAAAGTGATAAAAGTTGACTACGACTACCATAATTATGTGTACCAGAAGCAATAATCCCATGGAGGAAAAGCGGTTGAGAGAGAGAATCGGGAAAGAGATGAAAGAACTATAGAAACGTCATAGAACAAGAGAATCCAACGGGGGATGTTCAAGAGAGACTTAATTCTGAAGAATCCCCAAATAGAAATGAATTTGAAATTGAAGCCTCGTAATTTCAAAGTGCTCAATCTCTAATGCTAATGCAGTGAAGGTTTAATGACGCTGGTGATTCCTATGAGATGATTGAACATGTTGAACGAGATCGAAGAGATTAAGAGATTTCGATGTTGTGTTCCAATCAAATGAACAGTTATTTCATATGATTAACGAGATAATCCGTTCAAAATGTAAAACCCTGGCAGAATCCATGAGTTTTCGTTTCATTCAACACAGAGGCGGAAACAAAGATTCAGAGCATTTGTGTTGCTAAAATCCAGATGCTAAGCTAGAATACGCCATGAACTGAGAAATTAAGGAGTTGAGAAGCAAATTTTCTCATTCAACAAGCATGTTGATATAAAGTTACGACTAAGGTTCTGCTCAATCGATTAAGAAAATTAGATAGATAATGGAAGAGGCGTGGGAGAAAAATGAACCGTTTGCTATTTGTGATTGAAAAGCAGACCATTATCAGAAACATAGAGTAGTAACTTGAAGATCATCACCGGATATATCGATGTCCTGCAGTGACGGCAGTGGAGGAGGTAGATTCAGATCGAACGGCAACACCTTGTGAATTGACGGCGTCTGAGCATATTCCTCACTGTCCTCAACAACGGAAGACGAAGAATCGCAGTCGCTGTGGCAATCGTCGGGCGAGACCGGAGGCAGGGACTTCCGGCGGAGCTTCGGAACCGATGTAGCCGGAATCGAAACCCGCGGTCCGCTAAAAGACTCCACGGTGGAACTTAGGCTACTCGATGTAGGTCTTTTGACAGGAGAGTTGCTAATCTTGCAGAATCCGCGGGAATCATGAGGCTCCTGCGAGAAATGAATTTGCTGATGAACAGAGATCGCCGACGGATGCAACGGAAAGTTCGTTTTCGCCTTCGGCCCCCGGAGAGAGAAAGCAGCGGCGTCGTAAGCTCTAGCAGCATCCTCAGCCGTATCGAAGGTGCCGAGCCAAACGCGTGTCTTCTTCCAAGGATCTCTAATCTCGGCGGCGTATCGGCCCCATGGACGCTTCCGAACACCTCTGAATCGGACTTCCTTAACTGGTTCATGAACTGTTTGCGCCACCGCCAATGGATCTGTGGCTCTGCCTCGCCTCATGGATGAAGAAGACGATTAAGTGTTCACTGATAAGAAATCAAACCAAAAGGATGTTGTGGTTTCCGGAGATGATAGACAAAAATGCAAGGGAGTTTTGCCGGTTCTTGACTGTTTAAGCTACCACCTCCTATGGAAGAATGTTACCGCCGGTGCCGGAGCTCCATTTCTGGGAGAGGATTCTTTTTTAATTTCCTCTAACGGCTTTCCGATTCCTCTTTCTTCTTCTTTTAATCTGCTCTGCGAGATTCGCTTGAAGCCCGTTTTCTTGCTTTGATTTATTATTATTATTTTCTGGATAAGAGCTCCACGAAGTAATTCCGGAAAGTACCATAGTGCCCTCCATCGTTCCTTTTTCCCACCTTAATGCGCACTTTTATTCATTTTTTTTTCAAACATTTTTATTCTAAAATTTTTAACTAATTTATTATATATAAAATTAAATTTTATATATAATAAATGAGCATAAGTAATAATTTTTCAATTTTTTTAGCCTCCTATCCTCAGGATCGCCCTCATTTCCATGTGGTATACCCTCGAGATTCTTCTTATTTTCAAAATTTTAAATGCTTAGGTTATTGAAGCTATTTCATCTTTGTAAATTGGTTAAATTTTACAACTTTCTCTATTGTTACTATGGGTAAAAATAGTTTAACGACTATTATAAGAAAAAAAAACAATCTAGGGTAACTTTTATGATTCTAAGATCAAAAGTAAAAATATAAATATGAAGCTACCCAATAATTTGTAATAATTTATAATAATTAATAATAATTGAAGAGGAATTAATATTATAAGTTCAATAATTACGTTGAATGAGACTCGATAGCTATTGAATGTATATGAATTATATACGTCCAACAATTAACACAAATTATTAGTTACTTTCGTCCTTAATTTATATTTGAATACAATTTATACCAACCATCAATTTTTATTTAGACATATAAAACAAAAGGTTTAGTTTAATTGTGTATTTTGTACCATAAATTATTTTAATTATGAAAAATCGATACCAACTTGATTGCTTAATTACAATTAAAATTATTTCTTTACAAACTAATGTGTATAAATTGAATTATTTATTGTGGGGTTTGGTATCATGATTTGCCTTTAATGATGAGATTAGTTGCATAATGTGATCATAGTTTTAATTTTATTTCCCCTTTTGTTAAGCTTCTTTTCTAATAAATATTGGGAATAATTTTGGAATATTCTTAAATATTTGTTTTTTTAATCTCGTAGTGATAGAGTGGTAGGAGGGAAAAAAATTAACTTAAACGATAAATAGTAATTAATTAAACTATATTCATGATTTCAAATTTTGGACTAAAAAAAAAAAAAAGTTAAATTACAAATTTACCCTATTTGTCTCCACCATCGTTTAGTGTCTGTCTTGAAGATATTATCCGTTTTTATCCGTTACTTATTGTTCTTGATCATAAGGTTTTAAAATGCTTCTACTGGCAAAAAAAAATTTCACACAATTATAAGGAATGTTTCGATATTTTCTCCGACCAAGTTCTTATAAATATAACGTTTAAAAATATATTAAATGTATTTTTTTAAAATTTTAAAAGTTTTTTTTTTTTTTTGTAATAATAAAAAAATAATATTTTATGAATTAATCTGCCAGCCAAGCACAATAATAAATAAAGCGATATCTTTTTTTGAGTGAAAAAATGAAGAATAAAATGATTTAACTGGTTTGGTCAAATATGACCTTTAATTTTTCCCACCGTTGCGATGGGGCCACGTGTCCATCAGTAAGCTGACAGCTAGATAGCTGGTTGGGAAGGCGACATCCTATTGGAGTTTGACACGTCACCAAGGGTCAAAACCCAGCCTTTTGAGTGGGCAGCACTAATATTTTATGCCCCCTCACAGCTTCTTTTTCTCCTTTTAAAGACATTGAATCAAAGGGCAATGGGCATGAATTATGTAAGTAGATAAATTGGGTAAATTATTTTCAATTATTTAGGTTGGTAAAGTTCTAATTTATTGTTATTTTTTTTTCTTTATTTGATGCTTTATGTTTCTTTTTTAAATATATTAACCTGTATTATTCTTTTATTATTTTCCAAATCTTAAATAAACATTTTTTCGTTTGAGTTCAACCATTATAGATTAATATCTGCTCGTGGCTCGTGGAGACCTACCCAAATAAGGTGGAGAATCAAAACTCATAAACGAGGGGAGAGCGGGACGAACATTATATTTTTCATCTTGATCATTTTTTATATATAAATATAAATGAGAGATCTCACATCGATTGGAGAGAGAAACGAGCACCAATGAGAATGCTGGGCCTTGAAGAGGTAGATTGTGAAATCCCACGTCGATTGGATAGGGGAACGAGTGCTAGCAACGACACTGGATCCCGTAGAGGTGGATTCCGAGATCCCACATCAGTTTTAGAGAATAACGAAACATTATTTATAACGATGTGAAAACCTCTCGTTAGTACACCAATTTTAAAAACTTTGAGAATAAGCCTAAAAGTAAAAATGCAGCTATAATAATATCGGCTAATAATAAGTCAGCCATAAGAAATTCGGGATGTGACAAAAAAAAAAAAAAAAAGAAAAAGACAAAATAAGTTAAATTGAATTGGAATAATATTGGGTTATGTAGAGTCATCCGCATGTGACATTGCACGTGATTTGTTCACTCACCACTCACATTCTATTCTCACTCCTCTGCCAAGTGTCAAATTACTGTCCGGCAATAAATGTTGAATTATTTATTTATCTAATTTTAAATATATACGTATTTAATTGGGTAGGCTCGTCCGACTGGAAAATAAAATATTTTCGGAAAAACATTTTCTATTTTTTAATTTAACCAGAATTAATAATAACTGGGCCGTTTGGGCCCTAAATGGGCCTTCCACATTGAGTTAAAATAGCCCAACAGATCTTGGGCAACAGTAGATATTGATGTTCGGTTAAATCTTTTGCAAGGAATAGATATTGTTTGCTTTGACTCGTAACGCGTCGTCATTTTACAGTTTTAAAACGTGTTTATTAGGGAGAAGTTTCCACACTTATGAAATATGTTTCGTTTCACTCTTTAATGAATGTGAGATCTCACGTCTTCCTATTTTGTATTTTTTATATTAAAAAACAAACTAATATGTTGTTATTAGGGATGGAACGGGGTGGGGAGAAACTCGGAATTGCGTTCGATTTTCTAAAACGGAAAACAATGGTAGAAAAGAGGATGAAAAACCTCTATTCGAATGTGATAACTCCATCTCGACGAAGCTTTTCTTCTCTATTCCCGCCCCATTCCTTTCTTTAGAGAATCGGGGCGGAGACTCAATCATTGGGGATTAGACCTAGCGAAGAAATTATGATTATGAGTCTTTATTTTTATTATAAATTAATTTAAACTTTCATACATTCTCTAATTACAATAATTGTAACCTTATAAATGAACAAGGGTGAATTGATGCGACCCGAGTAGAATTTTTATCTCGATAATATGATAAAATTTTGAAGCAATTAATGCTATATAAAGAATTTTAAGCTTATTTTAAATGGAATCTAGGTCAAAAAATTGATTAATTATAAAAATTTAGATTTTAATCAATTCAATACTTTTTCTTTCCAAATTTAAGATTTTAAAAATAGAATATATTTGAAAATTTACCTACGAAAATACACCCAATTATAGTTTCTTTTGGCGTATGAGAAGAGAAGAAACCTAATCGTACATCCGGACTACGAAACACTGAAATCACCACCGTTCAATCTTTTTACCTTGAAACCCGAACAGCAAATCCATCCGTTGAAAAGGCATCACGTTTACTCGTTTAGTTACCCCTCAGATCTACGGCGCTGATGCGGATAAATATGTTATTTTTGACAGTCCCCGTATTCATCCTCCGATCACCCGCAATACAAACTAAAAAAAGGCTCCAAAATTTTCCTTCCAAAATAAACACAGGCTCTCTCGCGGGCTTCGTCTTCCTCAGAAGATACAGCAGGCGAACAACTGAAGAACAGCCATTCTGCTCTTTTTTCTCCCCCAATTTTGTCCTCTCGAAACCCTAAACGGAGTTTGGCTTCTACAGGTTCGTCTTCTTCTTCTTCTTCTTCGTGTGTATTCTGTAATCTTTGTTCGTTTCGTCTTTTCTATTAGCATTCTCCACTTTCGAGTTTTTAATTTGACTTTGTTTTCACGCTTTTCTTTGGTCGCTTCTCTTCGTATTAAGCGGTACTGATCGAATTGGGGAGTTTCTTTGGTTTGTTCTTTGTGTATTTTGCTGCATTGTTTCCGAATGTGAAGAATGTTTTGTTCACTTTCATGCATTGCAGGACTGCGATTACTGCGATCGCTTTTTTCTGTTGGTTTCGGTTTCTCTCTGGCTAAGAGTTAAGATACGTTGTTTTTCGTTCTTTGATTTTTGATGTTTAGCTGCTTAACTTCTCGTTTTTTCAACTGGAGTTATGAGTCGTTGGATCATGTGCATGATGTACCTTGCTGGTTTAATGTTTTGGTTTGTTTTATGCCTTTTTTTTTTCTTTCTAATATATTGACTGATGAAGCCTGTTTATCTGCGATGGCTAGTTCTATTGAGTTGGAATGCCCTAAACTTTGTTTGACTTGCGATGCTAGCGGATTGTCTTTGTTTTTAGTTTTAGCATGTTTTCTGTTGACTCGTTTTATACACATTGAGATGTTATAGCATTGTCAAGTTGTTAAGATGGTCTCAGCTTTGATATTTTGTGAAGGTATTATGTTCTCTTTAAGTTAGTAATCCCTCTGCGTTCACTGCTCCAGGTTTTCCTTTTGGTTTCAGGGATGGTTGACATTACTCATTCCGAAGGTGAAAGCGAAGCCGTTGCTTTGCCCCCTGGGACACCAATACCGCCTATTATGAAGCCAGAAAAGGCGGTGCCTCCTACATATACCATAATGAGTAGACGTGGTGTAGGAAGCAAAGGGAGACGCATTCCTTTGCTCGCTAACCACTTTAGAGTATCTGTTAATGCTCCCGATTTAATTTTCTATCAATACAGTGTATGCATTAATTTTGTTTTTTCTTATTATCTTCCTTTTATTTGTTGCTTCTACGCGTCCGTTGGGCTACATGTTTGTACTTATTACTGCTTTTGGATTTCAGGTTTCAATTAGCTATGAAGATAACAAGCCTGTTGAAGGAAAGGAAATTGGGCGGAAACTCATGGATAAACTCTATCAAACTTACTCTGCTGAGCTCGCTAATAAAAGGTTTGCATATGATGGAGAAAAATGTCTT